CGGAATCCCCATGCTCGATTACCCCCCTGTGCCAACTCCCAGCCCCGTAGCTCAAACCTTGCAAAAAAATCGATAAAATCGATAAAAGTAATCGATAATCCTGAAAACCAATATTGTATTCGGAATCCCCATGCTCGATTACCCCCCTATGCCAACTCCCAGCCCCGTAGGTGAACTCAGCAAAAAAATCGATAAAAATCGATAAAATCGATATCGATCGATGACGAAAAGTAGCCTATGACACCCGCCGGGGCCCGTAGTGTATGTGTGCCAAGTTTGGTCCGGATCGGTTCAGAAATGGAATTTTCTATTCGGAACATACGTACACACAGACAGACAGACATACAGACATACAGACAGACAAACAGACATTCAGCTTTATATATAAGATAATTATAACGGACTTGGTAAACGTGACCCACGTAATCTAAAACGGGTGAAATGTAGTCAAAGCTTTGCTCTACATAACAGTTACCAGCGTTCCTTAGAAATATCAGGATAGAAATTTTTAAAATTCAGGAAAGGTTTGGCTTACTGTTGAGCTGCTCAAAAAGCCATGGCGATAACATTGCAAAGACAGGGTAGGTCAGAGAGCAAATATAGCTGTAAGAAAGGGAATGAAAATCTAAATGAAATGGTACTTAGAATGTTTATGGACTGGTGTTCTGTGAGTTTTAGTGAGCGCTGAAAAGAACCGTCAAAACTTTCGGGACAACCTAATATCTTAGAAGAAGTATATGATCATCAACTACATCTTGAGTCAACACATATCAATAATTATCACTGTAATTACTTAGATCTACACATTAGCATAAATAATGAACATATTAGTACAAAAATGTATAACAAAACAGATGATTTTAATTTTCCTATAAACGTTTTATACATGTAAATTCCTGTACTTCGTCTAAAATTAAACGTGCTGTTATCTACACTGAATGTTTACGAATTGCCAGAACTTGCTCAAAGTTTGAGGATTTCTTGGAAAGAATCAAAAAGCTCAGAGTGATACTCATAGGTAATGGATATACTAATTCGTTCATTTTGGCAAATATTTTTAAGACGATCAATAAAAATAAATATGTGCTTCATAAATACAATCTAACAGACAGTAATAAAGCTATTCTTAACAAAATCAAAACAGTTTTTGAGTAAGCTTCTAATTTTTATTGAATGACATATTGTATATAAATTTATAAATATATAAGTGTATATTTATACACTACATCACATCACATCACATCACACACACATACACATACACACATACACACACACACACACTCACCACGCACACACACACACACTTAAAAGGATTACTTTCGTGCTCTAAAGCAAAAATCTACTTGCGTATACAATCAATAATAGAAACTTAGCTGAGTATCCATTACGAAAATATTAACTGATAACGGCCTTTGTTACCCTTTACGCCCATCCACTTCATCCCAGGATGCCATCACCGGACAAGGACCAAGAGATTCAGGTAAGTGAATTTTTACTTATTAGATAGTCCTCCTTCCTTACTGAGGAGTTCTGGGGAGGGCTATTAATAATCCCTTTACTCCGTCTAAGGGTAGGAACGAAACGGTGTTTTTTATTTTTTATTTTCATTTTTATTCTATTACCTAATAAATTAGCTCCTTGTCATTAGGGATTTGTTTTAATGTATGGTGTTTGCGTTCTTGTCTTTCTGAAGGAACTACAGTCAGGGCCCGGCATAGATCGTCTGGAAGCAGGCTGGACTTCGTTTTTGAAGCCAGCAAAGGGGATATCGTTTTTGACAAGCCGGAACCGAGCACCAAGATTAAGCGCCATTTAGTCGAATACAAGTTTTTCGGACAGGTTATCACACGATTGACATGCTCTATCGTGCATGGCGAAAAGTGCGCGCGATTTGAAAGCAAGGCTTAAATAAACAAGTTGCTTGTTTACGGCGCACAAAGCATATAACACCAAAATTGAACTTTATGTATAGAAAATTATTCGCAAAAGTATTAAGTAAAAAGATTTGAAAATTTATGTGAAGTAATACTTTTTCCAAAATTAGATCGTCTCCAGACGGCCACCAGACGATCTGAGATCGTCTGGAGCATATATTTTCGTCACTTCACATAAGTTTCGGATCTTTTTAGCATAGACGGATTCCGCGGTCAAAAATCTATCCCTGAGCATGAAGCATTTTCTTATCATTGCCTTTCCTTTGTTTTTGCCTTCATTTTTTCATATATCGCTTCGTGAAATATCGCGCTCTAATGCCAAAGTCTTGTGCATGCGTAGTATTCAGCTCTAATTTGAATTTTCACTCTTATATTACGTCTTTTCTTTCAGACTAGTAAATCTTTCTTGTTTTCATCTTCTCCAAAGTAGTTAGAAGAGACTTCGTAAAACTTCCGAAAGTCAGGGGAGACTTCGTTTTCAGAAACCCTAGAAACCGACTCGTGCCGGGCCCTGACTACAGCGAATGGTTGACTGCTCAGTTGTTCGTAAAATGGAGTATTGCTCCTAATGGATGCTCCTTCAATTCACATTTGGATTTCTGGACTATTTTTGGTTGCTGGGTATTCTAAAGTTTATCCGGACACCGTTTATCTGGTAGTTGCTACTATCCTAATAACATTTACGGTTCGGAAAGGTATTTGATATCCTACCTCATTTCTGCTAATCTGATGGTCACGACTGCTGGACCCACTACAAAAGATGTAAGTTTTTTGAACATCATATAAGAATAGCGTTGCAGTGTTTTCCAGAGACTGTTACAATCATCTATTCTAACCGACTACTGGAATGCTTATTTTTTTGCTCTGTGCATAGCATGTAAGTTTGGTGTCAGTTAAAACCTGGCAATGGTTTGATTCATTCACAGGTCAACGAATGCAGCTCGTTATTGCTTAGGTGTGCGTTTAGAAGTACAAGAACTCAAACATTCTGTAACCCACCGGCGCATTCGGAACGCTTGTTCGACGACGTGTGAACCTGCTGCTTCAAATGATCTTTCCTTGTAGATGAAAAGTTGCTACCTTTGTAGTCAAATGTATTTTTTATAAATTTTTGTGACATCCTTTTTTGTCGATGGTTTTTCGCATTGTATAGTGTCGCAAATATGTCCATGTAGATTCTACCACTCTGTGTTGAGGTTATAGTGCTGAAAGCTGGAATTTAGAGGAGAAGATACTGTGGCCCAGTGCCATTTCGCTGCGCCACTGACGCATACCGACGCGGCACCTACCATAACAAAACGACGCTCTCGTCTCTGCCCTGACAGAGTACGTTACTCAGGCAATCACTCATCCAGCCTAAAAGTTGTCAAGGTTCAAAAAAGGGCAGTTTTTGATAGATTCATAAGTTTTGAAGTTGATTCGGTTTCTACAGCACCCTTTAGCCCAGAGAACGTCAAAACCTTGGTAGCGAGATTTTGGCCGGAAGCTGCCTTTAAGTACAAATAGGCAAGTTTTCTGACAGATACGCGAAAAGCACAGGGAATTTTATGAACCGCAGCTTAGCTAAAGATCTCGCTATCATCGTACGATGATTCCCCCCATTTACCGTACCGAGGGACACCCGCTGAGTGGGCGGGCCCTACCACCCTTTTGTATCTCGGAGGTATTGACCTCACTCTCCTTACGAGCTTACCGTGAACGGTTCGCTCGCACAATCTCGTACTCACATTAATAAAATTGAACCACCAATTTTGCTCTTCTTACGCAGTTATTGCATCAGTCCGACGCCAACATCCCTCGAAGAGTCTTCCACCCGCTAGTAGCTTGATGCATCGGCCAAAGTAGCCATTTCTTCCCGCAAAAAAGGCGTCACAACTTTGCTGCCAGGAAAAGAGACTAGCTCTTTGAGCAAACTACTGTCACTCCCATTGCCGTTTAGCCCGATAACCTCAGGATAAAAGTCGCTCCCCTACGCAAGTAGACGGATCGCAGATCAGTGTAGATCAAATCACAGCTGATCAGATCTCGCATTTCCCACGCAGATCACCGATTCTAGTGCAACAAGCCAAGAAATCAAAATGGCGCTTCAATTTCACAACGCCCAATACTGCTAAGCGCAAATTCACTCAAAACTCTGGTTACTAGATACCTAGAGTACACCGAAAAAATTGTGTACACGCTAGTAGACGACAACAATCTTGAAAAATGTCGCTCGGATATTGCGTTTTTGCAGAGCGGCGTTACACAAATAGAGAAAGCGAAGGAAAAGCTTGAAAAATTATACACTGTGATACAAGACAAGTTCAAAAACTGCAAAAGCAAGTCAGAAAAAACGGACTTAGCGGCAGAGATTGAACAAATAGAGGAAGAGTCAAAAATTCTAGAGATCATAGCAGAAGCAGATGACCTGCTATACATGTTAATGGCGAGAATTGACGAATCGAAGAACACTCGCGAGAACATGGAAATAAAATTCGGCTATATCAATATCAGAGCTCAAAATTGTGATAAACTTAGTACTGTAAACCGGGAAAATGATGGAAATAGCACGGCGACTTCAGACCAAGACGAGATTTACGTTTCTGAGCAATCATGTTCGCAAAATTCATCAGAAAATCACTTAACAGATGGCGGAGAAGAGGTACATAGGACAAATTATCGATTTATAAACCCTCCGCAAGTATTTTTGCCCAAATTTTACGGTGACGCCGAGGGATTCCCAGAATCTTGGGCCTGTTGTGCAGCCGCACAAGAAGCCAGCGCTTGAAAAGAATGAAGGAATATGTTGATCTGTTGTTTATGATATGTGATATAGTTCTGTGCACTATATATAGGTATTTCTTAGTAAGTACAATTTATTCTTAGTTCCTTGTTCTTAGTAAAGAACTCTTTCTCCAATCGTCTTCCTACACACGCCATGGCAAACCCAACAACTGGCGATCAGACCCCGAACCCGAGCTCGAACCCGACCACCAACATGGACCCAACCCACCTTCTGATGCTGCAATTCATGGAGCTGCGGAAAGAAGTAAAGAAGAAACAAGGATCAGCGAGGAATACGTGATGAATGCACTCGCTACTCGTCTACCAGACTTCGATCAGGACCCGAACTCAAGCTCGGACACGGACACGATCCACCTTCTAATGAAGCAAATCATGGAACTGTGGAAGTCTTGTCGAGAACCCGTGGCTGAACTGATGAAGCAAGAATCCAACGAAGAGTACAAAGACTACTTGGAACTGCAGGATCACATACAGATAATCGACAAAGCCAAGGTACCTCAGGTCAGCGTGAATCAGATGAACGACAACCCGCAAGTCAACGCGATGCAGCGGGACGAGAAGCGGAAGCCATTCATCGGTCACAAGCCCAGAACACATCTTTGTATGAACTGCGGAGCGAAGACCCATAGGACCAGGAAGTGCGAGAAGCCGATCACTGAATGCAACTACTGCAAGAAGCGCGGACATCTAGAGAGGTACTGTCTACGTAAACTATTTGTCGATGAAGCCAAGGACGTCCATCCTGTCGTCATCTCACCGCCTAAAGAAACGAAGTCGTACTGCAATGTGAAAACCAACAACACAAGTATCGAGTTACGACTTGACTGTGGAGCTGAAGATTGCGACACATGGATCAAGACTGGCCGACACGAGCTAAAGAACCCGAAACATAATTCGACTGCTGCTAATCGGACAAGCATTACATGCCATGGACACGGCACATGTGAGCATGCGCTAAATGGCATCGCCTTGAATGGTACCACAAATGTACTTGATGGACCAGCTCTACTTGAAGTGCATTGGAACCAGAGCGACTGTGCCTTTCACAGTGATATTGGCTGTCACAATTTAAATAGCGACCGCTACGAACGATACACTTGACAAGAAGCAAACTCACCTAATAACACAGTTCACAGAAGTGTTTCAGCCCAAAACAGAAGACGACACGAGAGCAACGGCTGCCCTTGTGTTCGAAAAAGAGGATGAGAGCAAGATATTCTGCAAAACCCGTTCAAAATGCAGTCAGTTTGGAAGTGCCGAGGTACCTGTTTCTTATGATACAATGCTGGACATAATTATACGTCCACTCTAGAAATCGTCGTAATTTTTGTTCTTGTCAATGAATCTGTCTGAAACTTTGCTGTATTGTGCGCATGTCAACCTACCATAACCCCTCAAAACGGCTTCCAGTCTTGTTGAGTTTGAACGGAGAAAAACGAAAAAAATCGAAAAAGCCCTCTTTGAAAGCTGGACAAAATTATACAGCCACCTGGTTTTTCTAATCACTATCGCATTCGTTGACTCTCAAATTTTTTTGTACAATTACATCCCAAAATATGAAACATTTGCGACACTTACGGCCTGTCTTCCTACTCAAATAGAAGCAATCGCTGCATTTCTTGCTTTTAAAAGCATTAAAAGTCAATCTCCTTCAACAAACAACTGCTTTAAAGAGTTTTCAAGCTCTTGTTCTTTCCAAATGATAATCATGGAATCTACTGACCCTTCTGGATAGATGAGGTGAAAAGCGCTTTCGTAAACTCTGTGTAATCGCTGATTTTGACGGACAGACTCCAACCTCAACATAGGCTTGGAACGCTTTTAAACCACAAAACTCGATTTTCAAGCGACAGAAAATACTGTAATGTAGCCATTACGACAGCCATACAACAGTGAACTCGTGTTCATGACTGAGAAGAAATTTCGGGACTGAGCACTCTGATTCAGCCGCAGTTGACATTCACTGAATGTTGAGTGGAGCACCCTGTACAATCAAAGATAACTCAGATCACGAGATAAAACCGGAGACGCTTAAAACTTCAAAATCTTAGCTAATCTCATTCATCGGATGAAATATGACATGAAACACAGACGGAAATAAGGAGATCTAGGGTTATATCGAATCTTCCGCTCGCAGGGAATTTTTGTGGAAAGTATTCCAGGTCTAAATCGCTACCGCATCATTAGAAAAAATCTGAAAGTTGTTGCGAAAGCTGTATCCCTATGTAGACAATGTGATAAATCAAGTTCAGCACTTTGTGGACATTGCAAACTGAGTTTTGTGGTTTAAAAGCGTTCCAAGCCTATGTTGAGGTTGGAGTCTGTCCGTCAAAATCAGCGATTACGCAGAGTTTACGAAAGCGCTCTTCACCTCATCTATCCAGAACGGTCAGTAGATTCCATGATTATCATTTGGAATGAACAAGAGCTTGAAAACTCTTTAAAGCAGTTGTTTGTTGAAGGAGGTTGACTTTTAATGCTTTTAAAAGCAAGAAATGCAGCGATTGCTTCTATTTGAGTAGGAAAACAGGCCTTAAGTGTCGCAAATGTTTCATATTTTGGGATGTAATTGTACAAAAAATTTGAGAGTCAGCGAATGCGATAGTGATTAGAAAAACCAGGTGGCTGTATAATTTTGTCCAGCTTTCAAAGAGGGCTTTTTCGATTTTTTTCGTTTTTCTCCGTTCAAACTCAACAAGACTGGAAGCCGTTTTGAGGGATTATGGTAGGTTGACATGGGCACAATACAGCAAAGTTTCAGACAGATTCATTGACAAGAACAAAAATTACGACGATTTCTAGAGTGGCTGTATAATTATGTCCAGCACTGTATTACTCAATTCAGGAAGCCGAAATCCGCGATTCTGGAAAAGCCAGACAAGTTTGACTTACTCGCCATCAGCAGTTCAATGAACAGACCGAAAGAATCGTCGACAACTTCCAGTGCCTAGTATCTAAGCCGAAAAGGGAGGAGACGTTAGCCGAGGCAGTGCAAAAGTTTCCCATGCACTGTCGCGATATATCAAGATCAACTTTGGATGACTTCTCTTTCGCTGACGAGAAACATAGTGTGTGACGTAAGAAGATGAAGTATCAACTCAGTCCTCAGCGCGGAAAAGACCCACCGTTTCACTCAGAAGGGGAGGTGTTGTGCAGCCGCACAAGAAGCCAGCGCTTGAAAAGAATGAAGGAATATATTGATGTGTTGTTTATGATATAGTTCTGTGCACAATATATAGGTATTTCTTAGTAAGTACAATTTATTCTTGGTTTCTTGTCGTCAAGTAAAGAACTCGGTCTCCAATCGTCTTCCTACACACGCCATGGCAAACACAACAGGGCCTATTATGAAACTCTGGTCCACAAAAAGGATATTCAGGTTATGACAAAAATAATGCTGTTGAAAGAAAGACTCAAAGGACGGGCTCAAACAGCAATAAAGGAAATAAATTTGATCCCTGCAAATTATAACCGGATCATAGAGACCTTGAAGGAAAGATATTGCAACCCGCCTACAAATAGGTCGTAGATCGTGCAAAAACTTATCAATATGAAGTCGGCAAGCGACTCAGCTGATAATGCACTATGGTATTCGATGAGATCAGCATGTTGATGAATCAGATGACCTCCGCGCGGGTTATGAAGTCAGAAAAACTTGCGACCCCATATGGAGCGAAACCATTCTTTCCAAATTTCCTCAAGATATCGTGAGGTTAGTTCTGATTGCTACTCAGGTGCAAGATAAGCAAACAATTGGTGACCTAATGACAGCACTAAAGAAAGAGCTTGCCGCAAAAGCATATGTCGAAAACAGACTTGGTCAGCAAAACAGCATTCAGGTCACACAATCACGAATGAAAGCAATAAACCCGCGACCTCAGAACGGTGAAGGGTGCTTATTCTGCAACAGTTCCAACCACTCGTCCATGCAATGCAGGACCGTTACGGATCAAAGCAGCCGCCGAAAGATACTTAAAGAGACGGCAATAGGTGTTGGAAGTGCTGCTCCGCGAACCATCAAAGTTTTGACTGCCAGAAGCAAGACTGCGCAGCATGCGGGGAGAAACACCACATCAGCCTTTTTTGAGAAAGGATAATGCTTACGGCATTACGCATATGATCACAGAGCAAAAAGCAACTCCAATGTAAATCAAACAAGGCAAAGAAACTGACCCAAAAGGGGACAGCGAGAAAACAATACTCATCAGGGTTTTTCAAGACCGAATCCAACAAATACATAAATGTGTGCGGATGTCGAAACAACCCAAAATACTCGTCCCAGCGCCACCACAAACAGCTGAAGGGAATATTTCGAATGTAAAAAAGAGTCAATTTCAAAAAGTACTTTTCTTCTTTGACACAGGTGCACAAAAGACAGTCACTGAGGAAAAGCTCGTAAAGCAATTTGGCTTACCGAAACAGACTACCGGAATTTGTACTATGTCCGGTATCGGTAGCCATACTGAGACCTTCAAAAGTCATCTCATACCGCTCAAAGTCGGAACCGCTTTTGGCGAGGAAATCGAGATCACTGTACAAACTAAACCAGTGATTGCAAACGGATTTCCTTCTGCAAAACTCAATCAAGCAGATATAGCTCATCTTAAGGCAAATAACCTTTGTTTGGCAAACCCGAGTATACGTGGAGAACATCAAATCCCACATATTCTAGTAGGTCTAAATTATTATCACGACCTAGTTATTGACCCCAAACATGGGGAGAAAACGCCATCAGGTTTCCGCATTGCCAAAACGGTTTTCGGCCCCACTATTTACGGTCGTGGTTTTTCTGGTGATCCGAATTCAGAATCTGTCAATTACAGCATGACAGCCGTCTGCGAAAACACTGAACAGGAAGTTCTTCAATTGAGCTTGAAAGATTCGGTATAACACCTTAAGAGTATCAAAAAGACGAGGTGATCCAGAAATACCTTATTCCAAGAAAATCTCCTTCGAAAACGGGATAGTGACAGCCCCTTTTCCGCTTAAGGAAAAGGTGCGCGACCTTGAGGATAACTACACCATAGCCATTAAAAGGCAATCCTTACAATGCACATTGTCCCATAATCCAAAACAAAGTAAAGGATACTGTGAGCTTATCGAGAAGATAAAAACGAAGGCATTATCGAAACCTTTGATTCACATGATTCTCAAGCAGCTGGCATATATTACATGCCACATTCTGGAGTATAGAAAGCTCACAAAAAAGTTCCACTCCGTATAGTCTTCGACGCTTCATCTAAGAGAAAGGGAAAGCTTTGCCTCAATAATGTGATTCAAAAAGGCGAGTCGTTTGTCAATAAAATTCACGATTGCCTCAATGATGTGATTCAGAAAGGCGAGTCGTTTGTCAATAAAATTCACGACATTCTCACACATGCACGTTTTAAAAAAATTATTTTGACGTGCGATATCGAGGCCGCCTTCACACAAATTTGTTTAGTAAACGCCCACAAAGACCCATGCAGATTTTTGTGCTTGAAAAAACGTGAATCAGCCGCCCACTAGAGATAACATAGTGGAGTATAGATTCAACCGGCTGCCATTTGGAGTGACAGCCTCTCCTAGTATTTTGAATATGGCAATTTTGGCCTATCTCAACCTTCAGAATTCTGTTCTAACAAAGGAAATAGCTCAGAACTTGTATGTAAACAACATTCTACTATTGTCAGACACCGAAGATGAAGCTGTCAGCAAGTATCATGAGACAAAATCTCTTTTCGCTCAAATCGGAATGAATTTGCGAGAATACGCCTCAGACTCAGAAGAAGTGAACAGCAAAATAACAAAACAAAATCTGCTAAATCCTGGTTCACTAAAGCTGTTGGGTGACAATTATAACACGACAAATGACAGATTTAAAGTTGAAACCAAATTTTCGAAATTCGCAAAATTGACTAAAAAGGACATAGTCAGCCAAATCAACTCTGTCTTCGACCCTATAGGTCTTGCAGGACCACTTCTCGTCAAATTAAAAACATCGATGAGAGAAGTTTTTGACAGTGGAGCCGATTGGAAAACTCCACTTCCTCTTGCTATATGCAATCGATGGGCTGTTTTGTGCAGTGAGGTCAATCAGGCCATAATATCAGTCGACAGATACATGCCAGAGAGCCTCCGGACAGGAGGCACCAGATGCCTGTGGGTTTTCGAGGATGCCAACAAGGCAGCAATGGCAACTTGTGTATATCTGCAGATTATGCCTTCAGGCGATGTATCTCCGCTCATCAGTGGAAAAACACGTTTAACTCCAAAAAACTGTTATCAAACGATTCCTAGATTGGAGCTACTCGGAGTTATGATGGCCGCCAGATTGAGCAAAACCATCGGCGACGCCTCAAAAAATAGTATAAACGAAGTGTGCCTAGTCAGCGACAGTGAAATTTCTCGTTGTGTTGGATAAAATCTAACAAAAAATTACCAGTGTTTGTTGCAAATCAGCGTGATAGAATAATGAAAATCAAAGCTCATTTCGAAGCTTTGAACATAAAGGTTCAATTCTACTACGCTGCCACTAACTTCAATCCTGCCGACGCAGGTTCCAGAGGGTTGACAGCCAAAGAAATCGCTACACACGACTGGGTCATAGGTCCACAGTGGCTTAAAAATGATGCCAACCGCTGGCCAATAAGGTCAACAGACGCTCTTCCGTATGAAGAGACAGCAGAGCAAGAGATTACTATTAATGTATAAACCGTCACAGAAGCTGCAAAACATGACGATTTCCTCATCTCAGTCGCTTTTCCAAACTAGATAAAGCGCTCAGAGTGACAGCTACTGTCGGAAAAATTGCTCGAGAATGGATGGATTCCACCAATGAGCATCAAAACACTAAATCAAACTTGGTAACACAAACATGTTTGATAAAGAAGCAGAGATTACAGCAAATGACATGAATCTCGCCGAAATCTTGATACTTATGCACGAACATCAACAAGTGGATATCGCTCTTTTACAAAAGCGCTTTCACGAAAAACAGATCATCACCGATAAAAACGGCATAATACGTCACCACTCCCGTCTCCAAAACGCGGCTATACCGTTTGATACAAAATCGCCGATTCACATCCCAGAAACTTCAGAGTTCACAAGATCATTGCTTGATGAAATCCATTCCAACAATGGACACTGTGGTAAAGATCACACCTTGTGCATCATTAGACAGGGATTCTGGCTACCACGGCCTTCTCGTGCATTCCAAACTATGGTAAAGAGTTGCGTGATTTGCAAAAAGTACCAAGGGCCACCATATAGAGCCCCATAATGTCTTCATTACCAAAAGACAGAGTGGTTACATCTAAACCCTTTCAAAATGTCGGTTAGGACTTCATGGGACCTTTCACAGCAAAAAACAGTGAAAATGTATGTCTGCTTGTACACATGCCTGACAACTCGGGCAGTGCATTTGGAAGTGGTAGAAAACCTATCGGCAGGCGCCTTTCTGAACAGTTCCCTGAGATTCATATCTCGCAGAGGAACTCCAGCAATCGTACGCAGCGATTGCGGCACCAACTTCAAATTAGGAGAACTGATCATCCAAAAATGTTTGAAAAACAAGGTCAAAATGGTTCATCATTAATGTCCTATTGCGCGTCAGAAAGAATACGGTGGATACTCAACCCTCTAGCTTCTCCTTGGATGGGCGGCGCATGGGAAAGGTTGGTTGGCATAGTTAAACAGCCTTCGATAAATCAATCGAGCGGAAACGCCTCAATTTCGCGGACATGTGTACCGCAGTAGCGCGTATTGAAGCAATAATCAATACCAGGCCACTAACAAAGGTAAACGCTAGTGACATCGCACAGTTACCGCTAAGACCCATTGATTTTTTGAGAGGCAATCTGATGTATTCCATACCCACAGGTGAGATACTGGAAGATTTAGATGATTCCAGCTATGATCCTGAACTGATTCAGAAAGAAAAGCAAGTCAATGAAGCAATTCAGTCATCTGAGACCACTGCCAATAAATTTGGGAGAAATGGAACACAGAATATCTTACTTCATTGAGAGAAATGCAAAGACTTCATCATGAACAACCACGATCGATTCTGCGATCAAATCCACAAGTCGGTGAAATAGTACTGATTGAACAGGAGCTACTTTCCAGAGGATGTTGGTCACAGTAGAATCGTGGACAATGTGAAGAGCGCAGATTGATTAATAAGATCCGCCATAATCCTTCTACCAAATAAGAAGATTGTGCAGCGCCCAGTTAATAAAATCTTTTCGCTGGAAATCCGCTCCGTATCAGAGGAGCCCATTACCCAGGATGAAGAAGCACCCGCCCAACCTTTGCAAACGGTAGAGAAAAACGTAAGAAAAATGCCCGAAAGAGCATTCAAAATGAAAGCTTACGATCAAAGAGTGTGGAAATAGGCTTAATCAGTCTGCACATATCCTCAAACCCACATTCTCTGTTTTTCTAGTAGCCATATTGACATTAGTATCGCCAATCAAGGCGCAAAACTCATCATCGGCGATCAGCTGTTACGAGGGCAAGGTTCACATCACATGGCAAGGCGCGCCTTACACGCTATGCATCGATAACGATTGCAAAACGATCGATAGTACCACGCACGGCATGCGATATGCGTTGCCCATATCACCGATCAATACCAGTGCCTCAGTGCGTTTCAGCAAAGTAACAGGCGATGGCGCTCATGAATCGGTACTGATATGTGAAACACCACAATCCTGTGATCACCAGAAAATTTTGTCAAAAACCCTGCTGGGAAACCCCCATTGCTGGCCATTTGGCGCTTTCGTTACCATACCTATGATCCTCTACTTCATTACAATGCTAGATATCGTAATCATCTGTTCAATATCAAAACTAGGCAGAAAACGACGAAACACCGTTAAAGAAACACTTCCGGTACAACATCAAATATGTAAAGTGCTGAATCCCTCTTTCAGACCAGCTCTTCCCGGAATGAATGCAACAACTATTTGCTTACTAGTTAATGCATTAATTGTCAACGCACATGCTTGTCAAAAAGACTACACAAGACACGTTGCGAACCTTGTCTGTACAGATACAGACAGCTGCCACTATGAGTACAGTAATGAGTTGCTGTTCAATAAGGTGATATCAGAGATATGCATTGAAATTATGCATGAATCATGCATTCATGACAAGTGTCATATTATGCGCGCAAACGAAAACGTCGAAGAACTGCGGAAGTCCAACAAATTCCCAGGATATTCCGGCTGCATCGACATTTGCGGAGGAATACTCTGCGGATGCTTGCTTCCTCTACCAGCATGTCAGTTTTATCGACTCGCTCATAGACCAATCTCCGATCAGATATATGAAGTGATATCCTGCTCAGAATGGAAGCTTAATGTGCATATACGCATGGAATACACAAAGCTGGGAAAAACATCTAGGAGCACTCGCTTGATCCAGCCATATGTTACGGAAAAGATCAATAATTTCAACGTAACGGTCATTTCTATTCAGAAGTTATCACTACCACTACTAAACAAGCGTTTCGCTATCTCTGGAAGCGAGTCATTTATCTTACCAGACAAATTCCAAATTCCAGTGGAATGCAGCAGTGAGTTGCAAACTAAACACAACTCCTCATCATGCACTACAAGTATGCACTGCCATTGCGACAACTCCGTTCACCAATGTATGTGTCCGGCGACTCGATCGCTGCCCTCAGAAATCGCTCATCTGCGAAACTACCATTGGAAACCCCAGTTTCCACAATAACAAGATCAGGTAACGACGTGATAGCACTTTCAGATGAAAGCGAATTCACGTTGTCAATCGCGTCTTCAATATCAGCTGAATCAGCAGAAGAAATATTCCTAATGGAATGCGAAGTTCGTCTCAGCAAGCTGATTGAATGCTATAGCTGTTTACATGGCGCTACTGTCGTTGCATACTGTCAATCTTCATTTGAGAGAACAGTGACGGTCTCGTGTGAAACCCAGAATTTCAATGTCCGATGCTCTTCAAACAACGATTCTACCACTGTTAACCTAGCACCTGAACGAGCAATGATCAGTGAAAAATGTAATGTACAGTGTCATCACGGACCAGCATCCATTACTCTTCAAGGTACTCTTCATTATCACATAACGCTGATCCAGTGTCGTTCGATGAGGACTCCCACGCTGTACCTTTGCACCATCAATGGTTCGCCGATATCAGCGTGCCAGACGTCGCGCCGACCATAGAGATCATAAAACAGCATTGGAAAATCAGTTTAGCGGCTCTCACGTGGTAGCGTTTCTCACGCTTGCGACCTACCTAGCAGGCCCAATAGCTTTAGTGTACGCTGCCAATATTATGATCTACATCATCATGGGCATCATATTTTTACGGCTCCATTAATGTTCTGCTGGTCCCATTTAGTATGTAAGGAATCAGCTGATAACATAAACTGATTTCATATGCATATCTGGATAGTGTATATAACAACTAGTCATGCACGCTATCAATACGCTATCGAGCACTTAGCACCGGCCCCACCAACTATTAGGTTGTAAAGAAAGTTCCCGGGCATTTGCGAAAATTTTTTTCAAATCGCTGTAACTTCAAGCAGATTGATTCTTTTTTCAAGCTACAAACTTCATTGCAAAGAGATCGTCCACAACATATATTTCCCTTGCTGGCTTCTCAGCACCTCACTGCGGTCCACCGACATGTGCAGAAGGGAAAAATGTCGTTGCGAAAAGTGGCCTATTTGTGCAGGATTATCTCAGGCAGGATGAGAGCTGGAAAGCCCAGATGCTGTAGTTATATAGAGGTTTGCTGTTATGGAGACCATTCATGTTTTTGAAGGACCAGCTGCAAAAAAACTTTTCCCAAAAAATTTGAAAAAATCGACCATTTTTTGCCCCCAAAAATGCACCATTTTTCGAGTAAATGACTTTGAAGTGTCCTAGTTCTGCACAGAAAGGACCAAATCTTTGATTACTGGCAACATTGGTGGGGTAATGCCTTGCACATCTTTTGGACCCGTCATCCAGGCGTGGCGATCCCCGTAGAATCGACGCCAGCTGTGAAAAGAGTTGCAGACAGACGCAGGTTCGACAGCTTGTAATTCCCAAGCGCAAATCGCAAAACTCGAGTGCAGTTGCAGGTACGAAGTTTACAGGCTTTCCAATCAGATCACCCATGGCTTGGACGAAATTCTTTGAACTGCACAAAAAATGGCCGTAAAAAGAAAAACTGTGAAATTTTTGTGGTTGAAAAGATTTCCCTTCTTGATGTGCAGATCAAACACGTCTTGACATCGATAAAAGTCAGAAGGCGTATTGAAAGCTTCAGGATTCCCTCTACTAAGTAGTATAAAAACTTGGCGTCAAAGTCCGACCGAGCGCCAAAAAAATGCGTTTGAAAATGAAATTTCCAAAAGTGCCCGGGAACTTTCTTTACAACTCAATACTTCGCACATTACATAACCTCCAGTTAGCAATCCGCTATGTCAAGGGCAACAAACCTACGTCAAAAATATAAAGCAGCATACAGTCTTAGTACTGCCTATCTAGATTCCGCCCACGCTATATAGCCTAAGTACTTAGTCAGTACTTAGGCTATATAGCGTGGGCGGAATCTAGATAGGCAGTAAAAATCTGTATAAAAGCAGATGGACTATACCACATTACCAACATGTCATTCTCGCCAGATATGCAAGCCGCTATCGACGAACTCGACAGATGCAACGTCTCAACTCTGCTTCACCACCTACTGCCCGAGATGCAAGCCGCTAAGCAGGATAGACTGGCCCTTCAGCAACAAATGCAGGCCCTCGAGCAGAAAATGCAGACGATACTCGAGCAGCAAGCTGTGCTCCTAGAACGTGGTGCACCCAAGTCTAGCTGTATTTTCTCCACGGTTGCCGAAAACCGTGACAGCCACTACTCAGCGAGATGCCTCCGTTACCCGGATCCGGTATCCAAAACGTCACAAGCCACTCGACTAGGGCTGTGCCTTCAGTGGGCTTCCTTCAGGTACCACAAAGCGATCTCACAAGCACTGATGCCCTCCCGCCATCCGTCAAGCCGATGGTCGACTCCCACCCTGCCACCAGCCATGACTCCCATCCTGCCACCGCCACAGTCAAATTCAAAGCCCACCGAACCGCCGCTCAGTCCCTCAAGCCGCCCACATCACAACACAGCTGAAGACAAGAAGCATTGCCAAGTTAAATATATTTTCATCCTTGTTTTCATGTTTATTATTATTGTCGTTGTGCGGCGGAGTATCATCGTACGAGGATTCTCCCCATTTACCGTATCGAGGGACCACCCGCTGAGTGGGCGGGCCTTACCACTCTTTTGTATCTCGGAGGTATTGGCCTCACTCTCCTTACGAGCATCTCTCTGCTAGAAGACTTTGTCTCCAAGACCACAATCTTTGCAAATAGCGTGTACGAATACTTCCATGAGTGAAACAGTGACGGTCGCAGGATTTCCATCCCGGGGGGGGGGGGGGTGGCTGCAAAAAAATTTTTCGAATGAAGATGGTCAGTGCGCACTCCGAAAAATTTTTGAGGGTGCTTTTCAAAGCTTTTGCGGGTCTATGACACTTAAAATTTAGAAGAGGTGGGATCGAGGGGGGGGGAACCGCCCCCACTCCCCCCGAGAATTTTTTTACAACACTAATTTGAATATAAACCCACTGACTACGATGTGATCCACCGGTGGCCCACACGTCTTGCAAAATCATATCATTTGTAGGTCTAGTATTTTTTCCACATATCAATATTTCTTCCAAGTTTTTGCCCTTCGGGGCTTGCAGGCTCCGTCGTTTGAGTAATTTGTGACTGTTTACAAAACAACCTTACATTTCGTAAATAGCCACAAAACTCTCCCACACCGAAAGTGTTGTGCGAAATCGCGTCTTCCCACAGCGCCGCCATGCAAAATTAGGCTTCGTCGTCAATGGGTTAAAAAGGTTCTGAGAATTATTCTAACACGGAGAGGATACTTAGCCGAAAGCACCAATCCAGATGAGACATATACCATCTTAGAGCGCTTAAACGCTGATTCCAAATCTGCAGTTTCTAGCTGCGGAGCGGTTTTGTAGTGGAAGTTATGAGGGGTGTTTCCTCTGGGGTTGAGGCACCCTCCACCAGGTCTCTCCCTACCCGTGAGCACTGTAGAGGAGTACCAACTGGTGGCAACTGACCTAGTGGTAAGTGACATGCTTGATAAAGAGAGTGTTAAGGTTTTAATACCCTTCGCATGTTAAATTGAACTTCTAAATGGCTTCAAAGCCCTAAAGCATGAAACTTTTGATGATATTAATACTAATCGAAGTTAGAAGTGTCGAAAAAAACCAAAGTAATATGAGTATTACAGTCTTTACTGTAATCTTCATTCAAGTTATTAGATTGGCATAAGTAATGCAACTTTTTATATAACTTTTGTCTATTTGAACGTAGCGCATTCATTTTTTGGCAATATAAGGAACTTATGTAAGCTTCTAATGCACATATTTTTGCCGAACTTTACCATCTTATGTGAGGATTACGGTAGGTTTACGGTACTATGGGAAAAATTTCAGAATGCATCAGATTTTGCTGAAACTTGGCCTATAGGGCTTATTTGACATGCTGATCACAAAAATGAGATCTGTTTCGCATGAAAACGCCTCGTTCGTGAGATCAGAAGATGAATTTCATTTTAGCGACAAATGAATATGATATTCGTGTTTACCGCATAGGATTACCCTCTAGTGCAAAGTTATAGCGAATTCTGACTTTTCGCAGCTTAGTTATTGACAAATTGCCTTCAAAACTTGACGTATTTGACTTGTTCAAATTCTCAAAGGCGCCCCACCTTAATTTGTGTTCAAATTTCATTTCTTTTTCACTGATTCCAATGTGCCAACTTCCAGCTACATCTCCCTACAATTGCTTTTTCATATGTTTGAATCAGGTTTCGTAGGGCTTCATGTTTGCCAAAAAATCGTGAAACCTCGATTTTCAGCAGTTAAAAAAATGCTTAGATTTTTTGTACTATGTTATCAAAAATCAAACGGTTTGCGCACACTTGCAGCTTACATCACGATCTACACGATGCCACAAAATGAGATTGCTACATAAAATATTAGGTTGGCACATAAGTAATGCAACTTTTTATATAACTTCTGTCTATTTGAACGTAGCGCATTCATTTTTTGGCAATATAAGGAATATGATGTAAGCTTCTAATGCACACATTTTTGCCGAATTTTACCATCTTATGTGAGGATTACGGTAGGTTTACGGTACTATGGAAAAAATTTTAGAATGCATCAGATTTTGCTGAAAATTGGCTTATAGGGCTTATTTGGCATGCTGATCACAAAAATGAGATCCGCTTCGCATGAAAAGGCCTCTTTCGTGAGATCAAAAGATGAATTTCATTTTAGCTACAAATGAATATGATATTCGTGTTTACCGCATAGGAATACCCTACAGTGCAAAGTTATAGCGAATTTTGACTTTTCGCAGCTTAATTATTGACAAATTGCCTTCAAAACTTGACGCATTTGACTTGTTCAACTTCTCAAAAGCGCCCCACCTTGATTTGTGTTCAAATTTTATTTCTTTTTTACTGATTTGAATGTGTCCACTTCTAGCTACATGCTATCTATAATTGCTTCTTGATATGTTCAATTCAGGTTTAGTAGGGCTTCATGTTTGCTAAAAAACCGTGAAACCTCAATTTTCAGCAGTTTTCAAAAAATGCTTAGATTTTTTGTACTACATTATC